AAAAAAAAAAAAAAAAAAAAAAAAAAAAAGCAGTTGTGACAAAGGACCATTATTCCACATAAACAGTTAGCATCTTCAGACATACTGGGTATTTATTTGCTTGGGTTCTTGCTTGCGTTCTCCACCTGAGTGTGGGCTCCATAAGAATAAGAACTTTGTTTTGTTCACTGCTGATTCCTAACACCTGAAACAGTGGTAGGTGCTCAAAACGTACTTGTTAAATAAATTCTAATTTCTCCCAATTTATATCCCCTAAAATATAACGATTTTTTTCAAAGGGCCCAAGGGTGTTACACCAGGCCTTCCTTTCATTTCAGGGCCTTTTAAGTCATGTGTTGGAGTCTATGTAAGTAAAGCTTTTTTTTATTAACAACAGCAGGCCAGACCCACTTTACCCATTCAGGTTATTATGTTATTACGTTATCAGATACGTTATCCTGAACGTATCTGAAGCATGTATCTCTGGCCTCTACTCTAGGGACTTAGTGGGCCTTGGCTTTCCGAAAATAGCCACAGGTTTAATACACTGCCACATACACTTCAGCTTCATCACCTCTGGAATCTTCTGCTCCCTTATTCTCTCCCTGTCCAATCTTCCATCTCTCAGCTTAAGGGCTACTTCCTCAAGGCAGCTTGCCCTGTTTCCTGCTACTTACAGCATCCAATATTCTTTCTTCCTAGAAGTCACGGCATTTTGCAATGATCTCTTGGATAATCAACTGTTTCGCGTCTCTACTAGGTATTATACTCCCCAGGGGCCGAGGCTGTGTCCGTCTGGGCAGTGATACGCTCCTCTCCTGTGCGACTTCTTGCATGTGCAGGTGCACATGAATGTCTGCAGAATGATCTGAATGACTCAAAATGTTTAGCCCAGCAAATACCAACAACAAAAAGTGCCAATCAAGCCTTCTGGGCCTGAAGAGGTCCACAACTGGAGAGCACAGTAACAATGGGGGAGATACCACAGTATTTTTATTTCTTTCAAAAAAGAGAATCTTTAAAAAATATTCCATGATCTTTTAACCACGGAAGCAAAAATCACATGGGGACTTCTGTCTCCCAGTGCCTTGGAGTTGTTTCCTAAAAAAAACAGTCATATGCAAAGAGAAATTTCCTCACACAGGAGATAGACTGAAAGACAGTTCAAGAGGCCTTCAAAATCTGGAGGTGGTCTTCTACGGTAGTGAAAAGAGTCCACTAAAATACAAGATTTGGGCTCCTGGTTCCCTCTGTTTACTGATTAGGTATCTTGACTAAGTCATTCAGTATGTCTGGGCCTCTGTTTCTTAATCTGTAAAATGGGGAAAACAGAACCTATTTGACAAGGCACTAAGAGGACAGAATAAAATACTAAATGACAAAGTACTCTGTAAACAACGAAGTGTCATACAAACATGAGTTACAAGAGGCAGAAGCAGTATCTGCGCCAATGCCCAGCCTTCAACCAAAGAACTCTGTATGCTTCCCACAAAGAACCAGCGGCAGAGAATCATGCAGGGCATCTTTCAGTTTGTCCCGATGCCTCCCACCTCTATGGATTTCACCCTCACCACCACTCTTCCTGTGAACCACTCAGCTGCTTGGGAGGAGTCATGCAGTTGGCCCTTTCTTCTCTTTCCTGGTCTCAATAGCTCCATTTTCTCGTACCTGTCCTGATGCACCCAACTTACTTCTCTTCCCTCATTTTCTTCCCCCTAATTTAGAAGCAGCTCTGTTTTTCCACCAGCTCCCAAAGTTCATGATTGTGGATCAAGGCATCAGTGAGCCACACGTGGGTTCCTGTCTCCACTGGTGATGGCTGGTCAAGCCTCTGCCCCACGGGAGGCCTTCCCTCAAGCTGAAGTGCAAACATTCCTGTGAGAAGTCACCTCCAATTGCTCAGTATCTCAGTTGTCTTCCACAGGCTCTGAAGTCATTCCTAACACTTTCTCCTGATAACGGAAATGACAGCAAGGCAGGCAGCACACAGAGAGCACGGGACTTATGAGATGGGAAGGATGGGGTGAGATAGACAATGTGGCAAGAGTTGGTGAGAATCTCAGAGACACACTAAGGATTCCTTCAGTTTCTGCCTTGGGCTCACCCACACACAGATGCAACGCTCATACTCACAGCCAAGGAGTGGGTGTGAAGAAAGGGTACGGGGCTTATTGGGCAGGAAAGAAGGGAGGATCACATATGTATGGGAAATGCCTGGCTGAGAAACAATGGGACGATGGGTACAAGATAGGGTGGGGGAGATGGGAAAGAAGAAAGTGACAAATAGAGTCCAGATGCCAATGTTACGGGTATTTATGATATTATAATGCACTGCACTCTATGGCAAACTGTTAAAGTACCATTTTGTTACTTCTTTTTGTTTGTTTAAGATAGAATCTTGCTCTGTTGCCAGGCTGGAGTGCAGTGGCACGATCTTGGCTCACTGCAACCTCCTGCTCCTGGGTTCAAGAGATTCTTCTCCCTCAGCCTCCTGAGTACCTGGGACTACAGGCATGCAGCCACCATGCCCAGCTCATTTTTGTAGTTTTAGTAGAGACAAGGTTTCACCATGTTGGTCAGGGTGGTTTCGATCTCTTGACCTTGTGATCTGCCTGCCTCAGGCTCCACAAGTGCTGAGATTACAGGCATGAGCCACTGCACCCAGACACTTCTTAAGAAGAGAACAACTTGCTATTGTGAGAAACAGAGTTGGAAAAACAGTATGGAATAAGAGCTAAATGTTTAGGTTGTAGAGTTTTGAGAACCTGAGCTTAAATCTTGAATATATCAGAGATTAACTGTGTGACTTTGGGAAAGTTACTTACCCTCTCTGTTTCCTCATCTGTCAGTCAGTACCTAGCCTCCTAGGGTTTTATGATGGATTGTGATCATATATCTAAATAACTCTGCATGGGACCAGGCATATGGCAAGGCTCAATAAATGTTACTTCTTGTTAAATTTTACAGAACATTAGAGCTTATAAAGGTCCCTCTCTCTGACTCAAGTATTCCCTACGGCACCTTGGAGTTCAGGACAGCAACATACCTCCAGCTCTGCTACTTTCTACACATCTGCCAATAGGAATCTCTTTCTACTTAATCAGAAGGCACCTGGCTATTCTTTCTCAGGCCTGTTTTCACAAAGGATATTTGTCAGGCATGGGGCAGGGGACAAGGATGAAAGATGGAAAAACAAGAAGGTGAACAGTAAAGGGAAAGAAATCCTGGATTGAAGATGCATCTCTGGGCACACTCACCGAGTCTGGATCTCGTTGCTGCTCAAGAAAAGCTGAAAATTCCACCAGGCGAAGCTTGGTTGTGCCAATGGAGCGACCTTGCCAGGCAGGGACCGAGGGAGCTGGGGCTGATGCAGGCTCAAAACCTGAAAGGCCAATCGTCACCTGTGATGCTGGTCACTCACCTCCCCTTGGGCCTCAGGAAAATATTGGAACAGGGCTCTACAGATGACCCAGAAGGAAAGGCCAACAGCTCCCTGTCTACCAGGTCTGCCAGGGAGAACTCAGGTGATGATAGATGCTGGCTGAGGAACCCAGAGATGCTGAACAGTCAGATAAACACAAAGCATATGTTCCTCATTAAGCCAACTTCAGCTAAGGTTAAAGGCTGCAGCCTGAGGACATCTGACCCTGGACCAACAGGTCTACCTGGGGACCAAGTCAAGAATGACTAGACAGTGAGAAGTGAATGCTTCCAAAGACTTCCTGTGAGACTCAGATGTGCCACACACTTCTTGTGTTTGTCCATCTTCCTTAAGACTGGTCACTAGCACTACAGAATATTCTCTCTGAATGCTGGGTGGCACTGGGGCAGAGGGCAATATGTGAAAGCATTTTCAGTTTGGGGAATCCATAAGGGAGAGCAGTGACTTTTATACCGTATACCTCGAGCAGTGCAACAGAGTAATTCTACATGCACATGTGGGGACTAGGGGTGAGATTTGCGGGCAAAGAGACACGCAGGCTGGAGAGATTCATGTTTTCCACTTTGAGCTTCCATGTACTCTCTCCTTTAAAGAAAGGTAGCAGGACTGAAATCTACTTATCCAAGAAAGGGTGAATGAAACCCTATCTGCCTTCAAGACCTGGACTGCCTAATTAGGCCAGTTTATATTGAGGAAGGTGCTACAGCAACTCCTCCTTCTGAGGATAATCCAGCATCTTCGGTGAAAGTGATGAGGCTTTCTGTTTCTTAAACAAACCACCTGAAATGCTCTTGGGAGATGACTGAAGGGAATTGGGACCTGGCAGGGGTTACCCTGTGGCCCTCCTGGGCTCCAGGCAACCCAGGATCCAGCAACTCAGGGGTAATGTGCAGCTGTGGCAAAGCTGAGCATCTCTTGACCCTGGGAACAAAGTGCCAGACCTAGCTGTCAGCTGGGTAGGGCTGTGCTCCCAAGAAAGAGTTTCAGGGAGACTCACCTGGAATGGGGGCTGTGACCGCTGGCTGGATGGGGTAGGCCTGCTGCACAAAAGGCTTGACGCTGGGAACAGAGAGATGGCAGGGAGAGTCAGAGATCACATCTGCAGCAGCAGCTATTACCCAGGTCCCACCATGACCTCCCAGTGGGACGTCCTTCACCACTTCAGTCCCTGCCTACAGGTGGTAGCACATCCCAGGCAGAGGCAATTGTTCCATAAACTGAGAGGGGCCAGCAGCCTGCTAGGAATCAAACCACCAAGCCTCATGCCAGTTTAATGGGACGCACTGGAAAGAGCCTGAATTCCATGTGTTGTGACATATGCCTTTGAACCTCTGAGGTCAAGCAGTCACCACTTCTAGGCAAAGTATGGGACATGCTTCAGGGTCTCCTTCTCTGGGCCAAACAGTTCAAGGTTTTTTTGTTTGTTTTTTGTTGTTTTTTACAGCATATAGGCAGGATTTCCTTTCTTTGATCCTGAAATTGCCCTTATTTTCCAGTTTACTGAGCTTTTTTCTCTTGCCCCCAAGGGATCTCGTAGGATTTTTCTACTGGCCACCCTACTACAGAACAAGTCAGAATGAAATGGGCTTCAGGATCACCTGTGCTGTCCTTTATCAGGCAAGGAAGACCACAGCTCAGCCTTCAATACCATGAAGGAAGAAAGGTCCACTTCTTGCTTCCAACAGGATGACTGCTAATACTTAAGGTGGGAGTAAGGTGATTTTACCTCTCTCAGATCTGAAAAGCCAGTCTCTTTTCTGCTAGAGGCCTCAGTAGATAAGGTGGGAGTGAGGTGATTCTACCTCTCCCAGATCTGAAAAGCCAGTCTCTTTCCTGCTAGGAAAGGCCTCAGTAGACAATAAGAGGAGGATGCCTTCTGGGACCTCAGCGTAATGCTCCTTTCTCCTCCAGGCGCTGAGACAGTAAGGTCTGGGAAGAGCTCTCCCCGGATTGGCTGGGACCAGTCCCCATTTGTCAGTGCCCACCCGTCCTCAGACTTACTCTTGTGAGGATCCTGGCTGCCCTGTTTGTATCATTCCTGGCCAGAACTGGAAAGCAAAATGCAAAGGCCTCAGAATTAAGAGTTTACGTCAAAGCATAGTTCAGGATGCCTATGCATCACGACCCCTACTAAAAGACAGCAGGTTCGATCACCCAACAGAATCGCCTTCCCCGAGTGCAAAAGCAGTCACCACTTGCACAAGACCAGAACCTATATCCTTGGACTGGCAATCCAGAGCTCCCCTTAGTGCCTCCTTCCTGAAAATCCCAAGGGCAGGGGCAGGCAGCAGCTCCTCAGTGTTCGCCTTATACCTAAGCAAAGATCTGGGTGTGCTGCAGGGGCCTCGCAAATATTTAACTGACTGATTTAGCCATGCACCTCCCTCCATTTTGAAACGTTCCCTGCATGACATTCTGCCTCAATAGCACTGAAGGCCCAGCAAGGCAGAAAACAAAGCTTGAACAAGGCCAGGAGCTCCAAGAGGCAATGAAGGCAGCTTCTCTGCGGTGAGCTTCCCTGTGCGTTTGGGGTGCCAGCTGGAGAGGCAGCATGACATAGAGGAAGGAAAGAGCAGCCTCTGGCTGATTCTTGACATCACTATCCAGTCCACTATAATCTCAGCTTTCCAAATGCTTGTTTTGCTATTGAATAATCTCAGCTTTTTCATGTGTAAAATGGCAGTGACAGGAAGCATTTAAGATGACCTGAAGGATTAAATGAGATTATAACATAATGCTTCTCAGCCTTTGGTAGGTGTCAAAATGTAACTGTTAATAGAATACCTTCTCCCTTTAGGGGCTGGTTGCCCCTGAAGACAGAGGGACTGAGACCAAGGGCCAGGAAAAAGGTAAAGAGAGAAGAGGCCAGCCCAACCCAGAAAGGCACGTTTAATCCCATGTCTTCAGACACTCAGCATTCCTTCCTCTTCTTTCTCCCTCTCTTTTTCTTTTCTTCTCCTTCTCCTCTTTCTCCCTTCCTCCTCCTTCCTCTCTTTCTCTCTAGCTCTCTGCCTCCCTTCCCTCCTTGCTTTCACCACTTTAGAACGAGTTAGCAGTTCACAGGGTAGTCTTTGCCCTCTCACACACCTGACCCACATGACAAGAAGTAGAGGTGGGAGGCTTAACACTGCCCCATGCCAACCCCAACCCCAGCAGCTGTCATTACTGGACTGAGCATGACTTACCCCCGGCGCCCCTGGGAAGGTCGGGCGTGGAATCCCAGGCAGCCCCAGCTTGTTGTGAATGGCAGTGGCCGAGACGATCTGGGCTGAGGACATGGCCGCCATGTGCTGCAGGGCCTTATCCTTTGCGGTCTGATCCTTGAAGGTGACAGTGACACACCGACTTAATACATAACGCATGGCTACCAGGTAGGTTATACAGGCACAGCCACAAGCACATGGACTAAAATACAGAGCCACAAAATAGGCCAAAAAAGCAAACATGCATGGATAAATAACACAGCCAGAAGGCTAAACCACACTCAACCTACCGCACCTCAGAACATTTACTGGGAAAACCCAATGGGGCAAGGCTTTTTCTTTTATTTGAAGGGATTAAATCCATTTTCCAACAGAATGTGAAGCCTCTCAGAAGAGTGGACAATGTATTTATTTAGTTTTTCAGCTTCCAGAAGGAGATTTTTCTAATTACTTTAAACATTTAAGGAAGAAGAAAAAATATAGGCCCTGCTTTTAAGCAAACTGATGAGAGGAGGGGTGACGAAGAGATGCAGCCGCAGACTGGAGTAGGACCGTCCACAGAGCTCGAGGAGCCCTATCTGTGTGTGCTGGCTGTCACAGGGCCATGGTCCCAGGAGCTGCTGCGATCATGCAGGCCTGAAAGCCCTGGCAAACATCTGGCTGCAGAGGCTCAGAAGTAGTGGGGGGTGGGGATAACAGGGCCAAGCAGCATGCTGGCGGGGTGCATGCTTTCTCAGGTACCCCCGCCATGGGGCTAATGCTACGTAGGTTCGTACTAAAGCCGGAAGCCTAGGGGATGCTACAGGTACGTGATTTCTCCTTTTCCTAAACAGGTCTTTTCTAGGAAAGCCAAGGCTAATAACACAAAGCTAGCCAAAAAAGTCTGCCAAGCACAGCTAAAATACAGAATACTCAGTTTGGTGAAAATACTTACCATGCTTGTTACCTGGATACAATAATAAACAATTTGTTAAAAGAATTGCATACAAAGGAATTTATTTTAATTCTTTGGTTTAAATATATATATATATATATATGTATGTACACAAACATATAATACTTGGGAACAATAAAATGCATAGGGGTGGGGACCATTCTCACATTTTAGAAAGAATTGGTGATTCAGATGGCTATCTAGAAAGGCAATGATCAGGAAGGGCATCCAACAACCGCAATAATAAAAAAAAAACTACCCCCAACTCCTTTACACTGGTTCTGTGGCTTCCCCAGGACAGATGGAGAAATGGTCACCCTCCTGTTGTGAGGCACGTGCAGGGCTTTGAGTTTTGTAGGCATGTAAATGCTCCTGGGTGCCAGTAGAGGGTCTATACTCCAGGCTCAGATACCATCAAAGCAGAAACAAAATGGTGACACCAAAATAAAAAGAGTGCTTTCCACCTCCAGGGAATGTCAAAGGGAGCTTCAGGCTAAGACACCAAGTACCAGCAGAGAGGGTGCTTCAATGCTTACTGACATAACCAAAGGTGATGAAAAACACATCAAGGTGTCAAAGGCAAGGCCAAAAGGGTTTTTAAAAAATCAAAGCCAGCAAACAACTACTAGAGGCTTCTAAGAAAGCTCTGCTAGGTGTTCCCAAGGTATAGACACAACTTTGCCCTGTAACTGCCAGGAACACCAAGTGAATTTCCAAAAAGCTTACATTAACCTTTGAAAAAGCACCATTAAAGAAAAAGGGAAAGGGAAAGGGTCAGGCATGGTGGCTCACACCTATAATGCCGGCACTTTGGGAGGCTGAGGTGGGGGTATCACTTGAACCTAGGAATTTAAGACCAGTCTGGGCTACATACAGAGACCCTATCTCTACAAAAAATAAAATTAGCTGGGAGTGGTGGTGTACTTCTGTAGTTCTGGCTATTCAAGAGGCTGAGGTGGGAGAATTGTTTGAACTTGGAAGATCAAGGCTGCAGTGAGCTGTGTTCATCAAGCTACTGCACTCAAACGTGGGCAACAGTGCAAGACTCCATCAGAAAGAAAAAAGGGGAAAAGGAAGGAAGCAAGGGAGGGAGAGAAAAAGGAAAGGGAACAGGATAAGGGAGGGGAGGAGAGAAAGGAAAAATGAGCCTAACACTTGCTTTTTTTTTTTTTTTTGAGACGGAGTTTTGTTCTTGTTGCCCAAGCTGGAGCACGGTGGTGCAATCTGGGTTCACCGCAACCTCTGCCTCCTGGCTCATGCAATTCTCCTGCCTCAGCCTCCCGAGTAGCTGAGATTACAGGCATGCGCCACCATGCCCAGCTAATTTTGTATTTTTAGTAGAGACGGGGTTTATCCAGGTTGGTCAGGCTGGTCTCGAACTGCCGACCTCAGGTGATCCACCCGCCTCAGCCTCCCAAAGTGCTGGGATTACAGGTGTGAGCCACTGCACCCGGCCACATTAACTTTTGTGTCTTATATATGACTCCGGCTGACTGAAAAACTAAGGAACCTCAAACAACAGCTTTTCATGAATGCTCAGGGTCGTTATGAACACCTGTAATGACACCTGCCGTGGCTGAGTGACACTCTAAGGACCCTGGAAGTTGGCAGGAATCCTTGGCCTCAACAGAAAGGCCAGGGTGACTCAGAGTGATCCTTTTGCTGCTATCCCCTTCTCAAATGGCATTCTTGGGGTTGAGGCTCCATTTGCTAACGTGTCAAATGCTCTAACCTAAAGCTAGCTTCCTAAGCTAATTTTTTTTTTTTTTAAGATTTGAAACATTTCAGATACCGAAAAAAGACAAATCTTGAAGCGGATGGGATTTTATGATAAACTGACAAACTAAGCCCATACATGCAGATCTCAGGGCCAGGCAATACTGTTGGCTATTCCGTGGTTTCACCTGCTCCCCTCTGGTCCATCCCCTCAGAGGGTAGCCCATGAACAGAAACCACGCCTACTCCATTCCCCATCAAGAACACTCTGACATCAATACAAGTCCATTGGTTTCTCTTTGTCCAGTCACTCTGGACTTCAGCCCCCAAGCCACTTAATGCCTAATGAGGGGTTACAAATGCTCTCAAGGCAGATTTGTGAATCGGAGATAATGGCATAGGTATGACCACAGGTGCCTCCCTCAGCACAGAATAAGCCTTATAACTTCTCTGGGGCCCAAGCTGGGGGGGGTTATAAAATGGCAGCATAGACATCTTGCCTGCCTGCCTGACACATCTGAGCAGTAACTACAAAGAACCTGTGGGCTTGGCTCCGTGCCAGAAGAACATTGTGGAGCCTCTCATGGACCTGAAGAGTTCCACGTTTTGAAATGCTGCTGACAGAGACAGTTCTGCTTGCCCAAGTACAGACTGCGTTAGTGCACACTTGGGTGGGGCAACTCATGAATTTTAAGTCCAGGTCCAAATGGAAATGAGTTCCTTGCATCTCCATATCCCGCTTTATTGAGTTGCTTGAAATAAATCTGAGGTTTATTAAAAAGCATTTGAAATCTTCATACAAGTTTGATACTCTCTTTTGAATCAGGGAAATTAGCCAGTGTGGAAAAGAAGAAAAGTTACCTATCTTTGTTGTTTATGTCACACAGCTTCAGAACATGATTTTTCTTCTGTTAAACGAAGTAAGGGTTTTGACTGTCTCATTACCCAGCATTTCACCAGGTACCCAAATGAAAACAGGAGTTCACGCGCAGTAGAGCAAACCAATTACTTTTATCGAAGCAACCTGCTCCAAGACTGTAAAAGGTGAACCCACTGGGGTGTCAGGCTCCAAACCTGCTGCTGCCCGACATTAACGAGCTGCATTATGTGGAGCAAGTCATTTAATCACCTCTAATTTTCTTTATTTACAAAATAAAAAGTTGCACATTATCATCTAATGTCCTTCTGGTTTTAAAGGTCTTTGTAGCTATGACGGTAAATTCCATTATAACCAAATACTTTTTAATGCATATAGTCAAGGAAACTACTAGCAAGAAGGAGGCAGGATGCTAAAATTTGGGCAGCTTGCTAAAATTTGGGCAGCTCCTGGCTGCCTGTCCTAATAGGCAGAAGGCTAAGTGTGGAAAGGAAATTTTATCTCAAGTAGAGAGGTTCTTTCTGCACTTGACCTACCTATTTGAGAATAGGCAATTTTCTGCTAATGGACTAAAATGTCTATACCAGTGATTCCCTGCCTTTTGTGGTCGAGCTACTTGGACTACTCATTTAATTTTTATGACATCTCCCCTTTATCTAAAATATATATTGAAAATTAAAAGGATTAAAATGTTTTGCTTAAAATCTAAAGCAACTCTGGAAATAATATGTACCACCAGGGATATCTTGAAATCAGAACCAAGGGCCTGACTGAAGACCCACTTATCCTGAAATGGGAATTCGGAAGGATGCCAAGCTAAGAGATTTCAATGGAAGGATCTCTAAATTGTCATTTTCAGCCCAGTGACACCTGCCTGGCTTTGAAAAAATAACTCCAAGTGTCAGACCCAAGTGAACTGTTTCTGTCATTCTGGTCTAATATCCTGGACTTTAAAGCAGTTGACTCTGTCCTCACTACTCATCCCCACTCTAAAGGGGAGGAGGCTAATCTGTCCAAACAAGTCAAGCTTAGTAAATTGAAAAACATATGCTACACTTGTACACCACACTAATTTTAAGATGTTTTCACACCAACATTTCTGAGAAATGGATGAAATTTACAAAGGATGACCACACTGTTTTATCCTGAAAAACCGTTAATACTGAATTATGCTCTATGAAGTCTTAGGCTACAAGAAATATTCCGAGTGTGTATATGCGCATATGAGCAAGAATAAGAAAAATGCATCCTAGAAAAGAGCTTGGACAAGTTCACACTGACTCCTTATTACTGACTTTCCATCCTTCGATCCCTAAGATTACAAAGAATGAGGTCATAAAAAGCCGAATGTGTGGGGAGTAGGGAAAGAAAAGGGAAATCGCCCCTTTCCAACTGAACCCCAACCCAAGCCCATGACCTGCAATGCAGAGAACACTCATGTAGCAGGAACCATGGGTCTATGGAATTTTCATGGGGAAAAGGATGGGTTCTAAGAACAAATGGTCCAACTGACCTGCGACTCGGGATGCTTGCCTCATCATCTACCCTACTTTTGTCATTATCCAATTTCTAACACACCACACTCAATGGTCTCGCTGTCTCTGCTACATGGTCCAGCAGGCTGTGTTATGCATAAACTCCTCAGCCTGAGGCCTTACAAACTGTTATTATTCCTAAGTAAAAACAGGCTTTCATGTTTCATGAAGCAGAACAAGGCTACCACTGCTATAGCTCTCTGTTCTACTGACTGCCTCCTTTTTATGATTGAAATGGACACAATGTTTGGAAAATGTCTACATGTAATATACATGACAGGAGGACAGCAATATCACAAACGCACATGGCTGGAGTGGTGTGCTTTTAAAACTCGAGGACATCTCATGGATCAGTGTGGATATTAGAGGAGGCTTGTTCCCCAGTCCTCCTTCTGCCTCCCAGCTTTTGATTATTCTACATAATCAATTACCTCATACTCTATAGGCATTACCATGAACAAATTTTAAAGATAATATAAAAAGGTTACATGCTTGCATATACAATATATGATAGTTGCCATATATAGAATTTTAATATACAGCATAATCAGTATATTCAAACAGTTTACTCACGGGCCATCATTTCAGAATTTAAAGATAGGATTCCAATCTAATTTACTCATATAGAAGTCGATCAAATACATTAGAAAAAATGGTAAAGTCAAAAAACAACTATGGGTTCAAAACCTCTTGACAGTAAACAGTTTTTCTCCAAATATGCTTTAACCAGCAATATAACGTACTGCAAGGCAGGAAAGACAGCATCTACTTGCAAAATCACTTTTTTGGAAAAGGACAAAACACAAAATACTTTCCCAAGAAGTAATTTTGCAGATGTTGTTTCTAATCTTGTGCTCTATGTGGATTCACATGACCTCTGCAAT